TTCATTCTTCCGAAGAACCCACGAGATTTTAGTTTTGATGATACAGTCAAAACCCTATCCCAAATCTTTGGAGAACAATCATCTCTATTTAATATCCGTTACCAGTGCTTAAAGTTAACGAAAGAACCAGGAGATGACTGGGTGAAGCATGCAGGAACTGTGAACCGAGAATGTGAGAGATTTAAATTGTCGTCCATGTCTGAAGATCAGTTTAAATGCTTAGTATTTATCTGCAGCCTGCGTTCACCCGAAGATGCCGATATCCGAACCAGAATCCTAAGCAAACTCGAACACTGCCCTAACATGACCCTGCAAGAAGTGACTACTGAGTGCCAAAGGTTAGTAAACTTAAAGCATGATACCTCAATGGTAGAAAACGGTAACTGTTTCCGTAACGTCAATGCAGTCAAGAGAAAAGTCTTTCAAGGTTCCAGTACCCATAATTTCCAAAATAACAGCGACAAACCATCATCTCCATGCTGGGCATGTGGAGGTTGGCACTATAAGAGGTTTTGCCCACATAAAGAACATCGTTGCAGCAAATGTCATCGGAAGGGGCATAAAGAAAACTTCTGCAGGAGAAGAGACTATAGAAAACGTTCCGTGAAATCTTACTCAACGAAATACAGATATAGTGCTCCAACCAACAAGATATTGGTATCACATAACAGAGCACGAAGTTGCCACCAAAGAAAGTATGTGACCTTGAATATTAATAAACACCGTACCCGCCTTCAGCTGGACACAGCTTCTGATATTACTTTAATCAGCCCAGAAACGTGGAAGAACATTGGGAGACCCACAGTTTTCCCAACAACACAGCTGGCACACAGTGCATCTGGAGGGAAGTTGAATATTGTTGGAGAAGTGCCATGCATTGTTTCTAAAGGTACGGTAACAACAAATGCAATATTGTATCTTACTAAGAAGCCAGCACTAGACTTAATGGGGTTGGACCTTATAGAAACACTTAAACTAGCAGATCATTCTATCAACAGTATCTGCAGACGAGTAAGTACAGACAACACCCCAGAATGGAATCAGAAAAACGCCATGCTACAAAGACATCAAAACGTGTTTAGAGAGGGATTGGGAGAATGTACGAAAGCTAAAGCACTGTTAACTCTAAAACCTGAAGCTGCTCCCGTTTTTCGACCTAAAAGACCTGTACCCTATGCTGCTCTTCCAATAGTTGAACAAGAATTACAACGACTTCAGCAAATGGGTGTTATCGAGCCTGTGAACTTCTCGAATTGGGCTGCACCAATAGTGGTGGTCAAGAAGTCGAATGGAAGTGTTCGTTTATGTGCAGACTACTCCACGGGATTAAATGAAGCGCTACAGTCTCATCAGTATCCGTTACCCTTACCAGAAGATCTTTTCGCTAAGCTGAACGGTGGCAGATATTTTGCAAAATTGGACTTATCAGACGCATACCTACAAATCCCTGTATCTGATGAAAGCAAAGATCTCTTAACGATCAACACACACAAAGGTCTGTTCCGGTATAACCGACTACCTTTTGGGGTAAAGACAGCACCCTCTATTTTTCAGCAAATTATGGATACCATGTTACAAGGTATTTCAGGAGCTGCAGCCTACCTAGACGACATCATAATTACGGCAGTAGATAAAATGGACCTGCAGAAGAAACTGGACCAGGTACTAGAACGCATAGCTGATTATGGTTTTCGCCTCCGAGCGGAAAAGTGTGACTTCTATATGCAGCAAGTACGGTACCTTGGGTTCATAATAGATAAAGACGGAAGACGACCAGATCCAGAGAACATTGAAGCAGTGAAAACAATGCCTAGACCCAGGGACGTTACAACCCTACGATCATTCTTGGGATTGGTCAGTCATTACGGTACCTTTCTCCCCGATCTCCATCGTCTACGTGCTCCACTAAACAACCTACTACAAAGGAACACAAGATGGAATTGGTCTGCAGACTGCCAAGCATCTTTTGAGAAAATCAAGCAACTCCTAACTTCCGATCTCTTATTGACACATTATGATCCTTCTCTACCGATAGTCGTCGCTTCAGATGCTTCTAACTATGGTGTGGGCGCAGTTATCTCTCATATTTTTCCTGATGGGTCTGAAAAAGCTATCTCACACGCTGCCAGATCTTTGACAACGACTGAAAGGAACTATAGCCAAATCGAGAAAGAAGCCCTATCGATTATATTTGCAGTGAAAAAGTTCCACAAGATGATATATGGTCGACATTTTACCCTAATAACAGACCATAAGCCACTACTTGCAGTGTTTGGGTCAAAGAAAGGAATTCCCGTTCATACAGCTAACCGACTCCAACGATGGGCAACCACACTTCTGGGTTACGACTTCAAGATCAAGTATCAGTCTACTACCGCTTTCGGGCAAGCTGACGCATTGTCGAGATTAATAGGCTCCCAATCGAAAACCCCGGAGGAGACTCTTGTAGCAAATATAAAAGCCGAGGAAGAAGTTCATCGCGTGTTGGATGACGCAGTTAATGGACTCCCAGTAACCTTTGAAACTATCAAGAAGATAACTGAAAGTGATAAGATACTGAGCTCAGTTAAAAGCTATCTCTTGACGAAATGGCCAAACAATCGCCTCGACGGAGAACTCTTGCAATATTTTCGTCGACGGGACTCTCTAATGGTTGTTGACTCCTGTATTATGTTCGGTGATCGCATTGTTGTCCCGAAGTTACTACGTCACAAGGTCCTCAAGCAGTTTCACAGTGGCCATCCTGGAATCAGTAAAATGAAATCTTTGGCTCGTAGCTATGCTTATTGGCCGTCAATGGACACAGATATCGAGAATAAATGCCGTAACTGTTCATCATGTATCCAAGCCGCTAAAAATCCTTCGAAATGCGAGCCTCAGTGTTGGCCTATGCCCGCGGGACCCTGGGTAAGACTTCACGCAGATTTTGCCGGTCCAATCCAAGGGAAAATGTTTCTAATTATCGTAGATGCATTCACTAAATGGCCGGAAGTATACATCATGCCAAATTGTACAACGTCAGAAACGATCCGCAAGTTGTCTATCCTATTTAGCAGTTTCGGAGTGCCAGAGACCTTAGTGACGGATAACGGCTCTCAGTTTGCCGCAGAATCGTTTAAACATTTCTGCAGAACAAACGGAATAAATCATCTTCGTTCTCCACCCTATCATCCACAATCAAACGGACAAGCAGAGCGCTTTGTGGACACTTTTAAACGAGCATTACTGAAAGGGGGAGGAGAAGGGACGACTGAGCAGGTGATCACAAAATTTCTGACATCATACAGATCCACCCCAAACCCAAATGTTCAAGACGGCAAATCTCCCGCGGAAGCCATGTTTGGAAGGCGTATTCGAACAGTCTTCGATGCCATGTTGCCATCCAAACCAGTGGATGAGCGTAGTCGCGACCCAAGTATCCGGAACTTCAGTATTGGCGACAAGGTCTACATTAAATCCTACATCGGGAAGAACCGATGGGAGCCGGGCGAAGTGGTGCAAAAACTGGGAAGAGTACTGTACAAAGTTCGAGGAGCTTTTGGGACATGTATACGTCATACAAATCAAATCCTTAAGGACAAAAGGACAGTGCAGACTCGAAGTAACCGGCCGACTTTCCCGTTAGAATTAATCTTAGACGCACCAATGCCACAAACGCCCAGGAACACTGAAAAGAAGTCTTGGACAAGAAAGACGACAAGAATAATGGGACGCCGTCGCAATCCAGTTATCAAACTACAAGTGGATCCCAGAAAGAAATCTTATTCGGGGGAGGTGTTGGGTCGGCTTCCGGAGAACTTCAACGGAGCCTCCAGAGGCCCACAAGGAGCCGAAGAGTCCTGGCCAATCAGAGTGTGATGGAACGTTCTAGAATTCCAACGTGGCGTGCTACTATTGGTCGGTAGCATAATGTGTTGTTATCGGATTGGCTGTAAAATGATGTTGATTTAACAGACGCCAAAATCTATAAATACCCATGATTTTCTGTACAAAGATGAACCTTGGAATAAAGTGCTTTCTCTCATTCTTGTGTCTTCTCTCTGGAGTTCAAGTCGCTGTGTAGTTCTAGACTGCGGGTTATCGAAATAGCTTAGGAATCGTATATAGCGTTCAACCTTACACGACTTATCAAAAACATCTACCCTAATTAGATGCTCTAAATTCGTGACCCCTATCATACAAATAAACTAACAGATTAATTTTTAAATGGTTAGGTTGAGACATTAACCTGTATTATCCATCATTTACCTAATTCATCGAAGTGTTCAACCCATCAAGTAGTGTAATTTAAAAACAAACAAACATTATCTGTTGAAGTTACATAACTTAAAAAGCTTGACAAATGAATAATTTGTGACGAAAAAGTATTAAGATGACGTTCTAAGATTATATTGAAAGAATCAGATCGAACTGGATTTGAAAAGTTGACTATGCTGAGAATATCAGCCAAATAATCTTTTTTTTTTTAAAAATGATAGTGAAAAGACTTTATCTACACTCAGAAACGGAAGAGGAAAAAAAAGAACAACTTAAGAGCTGAAAATAAACGGCGTTAACATTTGATCTGAGCAACTTTAAAGGATGGAAAAACAATTTCAGATGGATTCATTATAACGAATAGTTATTAGATTCATTGAATATTACGTACGTAAATGTAAAGTAAATGAGTAAACAAAAAAAAAGAACGAAAACAGGGTTAAAATTTAACATATATGCAATCATTACATTAAATAGTTGTCATACAACAACATACCAGTTAAAAAGAATAATATAGACCCTATTGTTACTAATAGTAGTAGTAGTAGTAGTAGGCAGGTAGGTAGGTAGGTAGGTATTAAGAAAGTTGATAAAAATAGATTTTTAAAAAAATGAATATGGAGTTCATAAAACTTTTTTTTTCAATACATATAAAAGAAGAGAAATCTGATCGATATAACTAACGCATGTATCATACAAAGTAAAGAACAATGATGTTGTAATGAACGTATTATCCTTTATTTTCAAGCAGTTTTATTATGATACATTTCTGAAAATAAGGCACCAAGACTCCAATTGATTTCAAAAGAATTGACTTTTTTAAAAAACTGTAGAGCAAAAAAAAATAAAAAAAAGAAAGAGAAAGTTACAATCATACATTTAGTTACTATTATATCGAAATTTTGGACTCATTTAACTCCATCTGGAGCCGTTCTAAAGCTATTGCCAGTCTCAAGCCCGGATCAAAGAAAGAGGAGGGTTGAGCATAGGGGTTAACGACATTATCATGTAGAAAACGAACTCGCTAAAAATAAAACGCTAACCAGAAAAAAAAATCAATCAAACCATATTTGCAGTAGTTCAAAACTAAGTTAAATGAATTCATTTCAAATATGCACATGTTATCAGCTATCAGTTGTTGTTGTTGTTGTTTTTTATTGGTAATTACTATCAGCACATTACTACTCATAAATAGAGTGTTTCTATGATTCATAAGAAAAATTCAAACAAAAGGGAAACATATGACAAGAATGAATAAATGGATAATCATTTATTCATTTACAATAAAGTCATGAGCTAGTCAGTCGAACGCTTCAAACAACCTGATCCATATGTACATTAGTTTAGGTTGTCATAATCTACTAACAAAAAAAAAAGAGATCAAATTCCAGGATAGTAGAGGTGGTAACAGTATCAGTGGTAATAAAAAACAAAATTAGACATCGAAAATATGACTCGGAAAGAAAATATAAATTAGTGAAATAAAAACACAAACTGAGAATCTCAGAATTTAAAGGTAGACAAATATGATCCGATACATTTCTAACTCGAGTCATTTTGTAATATTGGAGATTTACATGAACAATGGTTTTATATCACTTTGGATAAGTTAAGTGTGACTGTTTTCAAAGATTGTTCAAGTCAGTCAATTTTTAAGACCTTCCTTTTTGTTGAGCACAGAACAATTTAGTAGTATCAGAAAGGGTTTTGTGGAGATTGTAGTAATTTCAATAGTTGAGATCATGAGTCAATTGAAGCTAGACCACTATGAAAAACCTGGAAGGTCCTGGGTTCAAATACCACGAAGCCGGGTCGTGGATACGCACTGCTGAGGAGTCCCACAATAGGACGAAACGTTCGTCTAGTGCTTCTAGGATTTCCATGGTGGTCTAGCTTCAATTAACTCATGATCTTAACTATTGAAATTTCTTAGCACATAAAGTATTTCAGCTACTAGCCTTTGTTTTGAACCATTTTAATAGTCAGTCAGCCTGCTACAACGTAGGACCAGGCACATAAATGCATCGGTCCAAGTTGCCATACCTCATTAACACAACAAGATGGACACTGGATTCATAAAAGTAGTTAGTTCAATGATGGTAATATATAAAAGAAAGATTGCATATAAGAATATAGTACAGGAAGAAAGGATTAGTTCGTAGAAAGAAAGATATGAAGCGATTTTAATCTCAGAGTTTAAGGGAAGACAGAGAGTGTATACACCCACACCACTGTGATCGATCCTGAGCCATGTCACCAAGAGTCTCCAACCATTTGTTACGATAGTCATGAGGACCCCAACCAAGTAGTCTGCATCTACCAACATGGCTCAGACCAGAAGTCAACACCTGAACTAAGGATAAGGAGTGAAGTAGTTGAACGTGTTGACAACTTCACTTATCTTGGAAGTCTGGTCAGCCCTAATTGGTTGGTGTGCCTGAAGTCACTAACTTCTAGTCTGAGCCATGTTGGTAGATGCAGACTACTTGGTTGGGGTCCGCGTGACTTTCGTAACCAATGGTTGGAGACTCTTGGTGACATGGCTCAGAATCGATCACAATGGCGTCGGTGTATACACTCCCTGTCTTCCCTTAAACTAAGAGACTAAAATCACTTCATTCTTCTGTCTACGAACTGATTCTTTCTTCCTATATTATATCCTTATTGCAACCTTTGACCTAACCACTCCTATGAATCCGCTGTTCATCTTGCTGTGCTAATGAGGTATGGCAACCTGGACCGATGCACATATGTGACTGGTCCTACGTTGTAGCTGACTGACTGGGCGAATTGGTTGGTGTCTGACGAAATCTCAGCACGGATTCGAAAAGCTCGCTTGGCTTTTGCCAACTTACGTCACCTTTGGCGAAGGCGAGATATCCGTCTATCAATAAAAGGACGAGTATACTGCGCGGCAGTCCGTTCTGTTTTACTTTACGGCAGCGAAACATGGCCTTTAAGAGTAGAAAACACTCGTAAGCTACTAGTATTTGACCACAGATGTCTTAGAAATATTGCTGGCGTCTGCTGGGATCACCGGATAAGTAATAATGAGGTTAGACGCAGGGTATTAGGGAATGATGGTAAATCAGTTGATGAGTTTGTTGATCTTCATCGACTGAGATGGTTGGGCCACGTATTACGTATGCCTGAACACCGATTACCACGACGTGCAATGCTATCCGGTATTGGAGATGGTTGGAAGAAAGTTAGGGGCGGCTAAACCAAAACGTGGCATCAGTGCTTGAAGTCACTAACAATATTTTTAATAATGATTTGATGGTCCTCAAAAAATGGAATGTAGATTCTCATCTTCTTCAGGGTTATTAGATTGTTTCTATATAGCTGATATATCATTTGAAAGAAGTTATGATTTCACAATAGAATTCTCTAATATAAAAATGAATCAACATTGAAAACACCTCATCTTGATATCATAATGTGTTTGTATAATCAGATATGGTTACTTGAAATTATCTACATAAATCTTTATCAAATTTAACATGAAAATACACCTTTTAGAGAGAATCATGCTAATTAGATTCATTCTTGTCGAGTTGAAGTCGGTAGATGACATAATTGTCATAATCTCTCACATAACTATAATATTTTGATAGAATCAAATTATAAAATTTATTAACTAATTAATGTATTTTTGATGTAATAACATGACGTATAAACCTTTTTTGCACTTATCATTCAATGATTTCATGAGTACAATTAGATGATAAAAAGTGTACTGATGATGAGATGATCAACAATCAATAAATTAATTTAATAATTAGAATTATTTATTAAATTGAATAGAAAGCAATAAAATGGAAAATGGTCAAGTAATTAGATAATAATTTTTAAGAAAAGATGGATAGTGGTTAGTACTGGAATTCAGGATACACAATTCAATCTATTCGGGAATCGTCAACTGAATGTACCTACATCCCGGAGTTGATGTTCGAATCCCGTAGTGAACATCAACTCTGAGATGCAGGTACATACAGCAGATGAGTCCCAAAAATGGGACGAAATCCGAGTTCTGAATTCCACTGACAACCATAATCCATCTTTGCTTAAAAAATTGTGACTAAAGGCTGTATCCAGGCAATGCGCACAGGATGGATATATGCTAACAAGAGATTGATTGATTGCAGTCTTAAATAACAATGGGAAGATACAAGTGAAACAACGCCAAGTAATTAGATAGTGGTTATGATTATACATACATACAAAGAAACAAAGAATATATGTCAAAGAGAACACATCACCTATTTGAATGATCAATGGTTTACACTTAGATTGTATTTTTGTTTATTTGTCATTTTCATATTGAAAATTTAACCATTACAGATTGAGAAAAAAAGATCTTTCAAAACTTATTATCATTAACCAAAAAGTCAAACTTACTCCAATTTTTTTATCTGACGGGAACCCATAACCACTATGCAATAATGCAGTGATAAAACTAAGATCCATGCAATCGAATGGTTTCTGAGGATTTGGGTTACGACAAACTGTGAAGATGATGATAATGACATCGACAGAAATGCGAGAGATGAAGAGGACATAAATGGGAATGGAAAGAAAATATTACAAATACACTGGAAGAACTGGATTTCTTTAGAATTATTTACTGTGTTTGTTTTACTTAGAACTCACAAGGTGGTGAGCGTTCGAATCCCGCTCCACCTAATTTAGTTTGAGCAAATGGATAATATTATCATCAGCTCTCACACTTAGAATGTGGTTCATGCCCAAGTGTACCAGATGGATGAGTTGATAAACGAAAATGAACTTTGAGTTCAAGTTACGGTTGGCAAGAATTAAGTTTTATATATATATATATATATATATATATATATATATATATATATATATATATATATATATATATATATATATATATATATATATATATATATATATACGCCTTATGTAGTCGGTTACATCATGATCGCTTTCACTTATTTCAATCATTGATAAACTGTAAACACTAATAATCAATCACTATGTACTAATGATTTGAATGATTTGTATGCATGTTATACAACAAAATTACATTTTATTTAATTATACAAATTGGTGAATATGTCGATGCTTGAATTATATGAAATGACGAAATCTATTCACTTATTGTTTTTGTACTTCACGAAAATTGAACAAGGGAACTGGCTATACTATTAAAAAAGAAGACTTTAACTTATCCATGGTGAAAGAACAATGAAATATTGTCCAAATTAGTCAGCCTCTTTATCATTATCAACAGTTAGGACCTGAGAGAAATATATGCAACGATTCATACTGTTATATCATGACATTATACTCCAACGTTACACACTTTAAAACTAATACGGTTGTAAACAACTGTCGAGAAACTACGAAATAAAATAAATTTATATTATTCTGCTTTAAATGTTGTTCCGATTTTATACTTATTCATCATAAATAGAATCAATTGTATGAAATCTTCTTTGATATTCCCCAGCATGTACCAGTAACAAATGAATTATCATAGTTAAAATCACAATTTGATCTAAGATAGACCACCATTGAAAACACAGAAACACTGCACGGCCGTTTTGTGCTAGTATGAGACTCTGTGTCAAGTGTGAAATAGTTATCTACTTCAGGCAATCGATGAAAAGTTGAACAAGGTCATGGATTGATTGAAGTTAGACATCAACACCACTGGATGCCGGCTCAGTGATCTAGACGTTAAGTGTTCGCGCGCGAAACCGAAAGCCCTGTGTTCGAGTCCGACGTGTGGGATCGTAGATATGCATTCCTGAGAAGTTCCACACTAAGACAAAACGGTCGTTCCGTCAGGGAGCACCAGTTCCCTCAAAATTACAGGTACATCTTGCTGACGAGTGCCAAGTAGCACGAAACCCGGGTCCAGGGTTTCCTGTCGACTACCTCCGACCACCATATGGTCGTTCAGTGTCTTTAGGTTCTCAACAACGATCTAGTTTAGATCGACTCGTAGTGTCAACTATGAAAATACTACAATCTCTTTACAAATCTCCATATTGATAACAAACGTATCAGCAACACTGTATAGAAGTAAATTATTTACATGTGTAAGCTTTATGTATGAATTAGACAACGTTAACCAATTAGTTTCGAAGGATGAATTAACCTTACTTTTATCAGTTAATTAAACGAAAGAAAACTCTAAGATGATTTTAACTTAACACCACTGAAATGTAATTTAGTGGTCTCTCTCTCTCTCTCTACAATTCGCATAAAATAATCAATTTTGCTGGAATGAAATTTCACACACTCGTATATGGAATATCTAAACAAGGGTGTATACCATTGTACTATAATTAATTTCAATCGATTAGCCTTAAAACTAAATGTAGAATGATCATTGAATTAAACAAACATAGGCTAACTGATTTGATATTTACAAAAGAATATTTAGGTATTCTTAAAGAAAACAAACATATATATACATATAGTTGAAGAAATTGGATAGAAAAGAATAAAAATAATCTTTGTAGCTAGTTGGTACTATTAGTCCCGACCGTTGTTGCTACCTCGACGTGGTGGTCGGGCTTGCCTATCGTGATGGAGCAATCGAGCTATACTGACTGGAACAACTGTTCCTCCAGGTCCTACCATGTCAGAAAAATCGGTTGAAGAGCGGTAAGACTAAAAGCAACAAACCCAAGGTCCGAAGGTGAAGTCCTACTGCTGACTGTACAGAGATATGACAGCAGTAAGATGTTTCCTTCAGACAACCAGCATGACAACGATGCTTCCTTCCCACATGGACGGGTGGGGTTAGAAAAAGTCGACCCTAAAAATGTCACACCTCACCTTACCTCACGGATTTCCGTCTCCGGCGGTAAGGCCCTTTGAAGAACGGAGCTAACACGTCGAAAACCTTCCACGAAAAGGCCGTGCGCGACCGGCCTCAGGCAGTTGTCCCTTGGGCACTGCGGTCACGCTTCCAGGTCACTAAGACCACTTCTAATCCGATTTCCTTTTCAGGTACCTCCAGAACAACCCTTCCACGGTGTGGGCAACCGGGAAGTGATAACCGCCCTCATACCTCTAACAGCACTCAAGACCACTGTATAATCAACTGGTACTATTAGTCAATAAAGAACATCATTTGTAATTTTGGGGAAATCCATACTGTCATAGAGATTTGAAGCAATATAGTGACATACAATGGTTAAAGACACTAATATTGAGTATTTGGACTCTTATAAAGAGATGGGATTGTAACTTTACTTCATTGATCGAAAATGTAATGAATAAAGCTCGAAATCAAAGCTAATCAGATATTTAAGTGACTTAAGGCCCTTGATTACACGCATGTTTCAATATTGAGAATGGTCTAGCTAGAGTCCACTAAATATGTTTGTCGAATTTCAAGAATCAAGAAGGGTTTTATTTATTTATTTGAGCACATAAATATCGGTACAAAGGGACACCGAGTACATATGCACCACACAAGTCACTTCATTTGTGTGTGGGCTGTGATGCTGTCCGGGTGCCAAAACCGAAGCAGTTGGTTTTCTTAGGAGGCCACACCCGAAGCCTTCGACCAAAAGTTCCGATCCACAAGGCAGTGGAGCAACGTAAGGAGATGCAATAACATGGTAGCCGGTGACCAATAATTCGTTCATGCCCATTTGTTCCTTTTGGATCCTGCAGTTCATGTGCGCCATCGGTTTGGAATCAGGGATTTCCAACTCCCCAAAGTGGATTCTCCATATCCGCCAACCCTGTTAAAGCACCGAACATTCGATTTTTGTCCTCTCAATTTTGTAAATAACAGTAATGCCGCGAGAATGCAGTGAGTGCGACTTCCCTGGGAGTAGTTGTATGCATGTAGCCACATGAGAGTATTTCGAGAGGGAGAACGAACTCTCCTCACCCTCGGTCATACCATGGCATTTGGGAGCTCAACGAGATTGCTAATTATGGTCTTGAGATGGAAATAATAAACTATCAAGCTGAATATACTATAAATGAGTGTTGAAAAACTTCAACATTCACTGAACTCAACTCGTTAGTGACAAAGGAAGTATTTTATGATCTAGAAAATTTTAAGTATAAAAATGTTCATTATCTTTTTTTGGAAATGAACTTGGATTTAAGAGTAAGAATTTTCATGCAAGATCATATTCAATAAAGTGACATTAAAATCTGAAGTAACAGAGGTTAATCTTAAGTAACTTCTGGGCTTTTACAACAAGGAAAATGTGTACAGTTGTATTCATCACGTTCACAAGATGATAACTGTTAACGATGATGACTGAGTGTTAGGAAAATCTTAGTATCATCAATAAATAATGGATATCAGTAATATCCTGGTACAGCCGAGAGTGGGGAGAGTCAGTAATCCCTCATCAAATGCTTCCACATAACCACGCGTATACAGCCACTGCCAGGGAAGTCCTACTCACTACCTTCTCCTGGCATTATTGTTTGAGAAGTTGAGAGGACGAAAAGCAAATTTCCAGTGCTGCAACCGGGTTGCTGGAAACAGAGTTCACCTAGGTGAGTTGGAAAACTCTAATTCTAAACCAATGGTGCACATGGGCTCTAGTATCCTGAAGGAACAAAAGGCGTATGAACTTAATTTTGGCTGCATATCCTTACGTTGCTCCAGACCTTTAGGTCGAAGGCTCGGGGTGTGCTCCCCTGAGAAAACCACAAACTGAATGATTTATATGGCGTATATCTATTTGTTGCCTCCTTGTACCAATGTTTATGCGTTTAAATAAATAAATAAATTGTAATAAGAAACATTTTTAAGGTTTGAATATACCTGACATACTATCAATGATCACCTGGTATTTTTAATAAAACCGTTCGTTCATCTATGTTTCACAATAATATAAAACTAGATAACGATTGTTCTTGGCTTCTATCTTGTTTAATGTTTGGTAATAACATTAATCAGTAATTAATTAGTTTAGCTTTTTGAGAAGTTGTGATATGTCAATAAGTGTTCATTTGAAAAGAGATTATTCTACGGAGTCGCATCATCGAAGCAACCACCTCCGTTACTTTTACACCTAATTTCCGGTCCAAAGCCAGGATAAAGGAAGAGAGTTGAGCATGAGGTTAGCAACCACATCCCGTAGAAAAGTAACTCATCAAAAAAACACAAACCAGAAAAAATAATTCAAACCATTTAAACTCTTCCTGGGAGTTAGAAGGTCTTCATTGAGATGAGTTATGACGCCTCATGAGGAAAGCCGGGCTCCTTCGCAAGTCACGAGGTTGATGCCTTTTCTGACAACCAGAGCAACCATTAGTTACGTAATGGCTAAAACTTAAACTTTTCGAACACAATGGTGATATGGATACAAAACAAAAATAAATTGTTTTTGAAAAAAAAACAAGAAGAAAAATACCTACCTCGTTCAGCGGCATTTTGAAAATCATTCACTGTAAGAAATCCACCAGTATTTTCATGTATTAAACCAACACTAACAGCTAAATCGAAATAATATGAAAATGCATAAAATTCACGTGTTTTCACTTCCACTGGTTGATGAACAATATTATTGTTTGGTGGATATCTGATAACATTTATATCACCTATAAACAATGAAAGAAAAAAAATAAATTGATTGTTTATCACAATGGGAAAAAACAACAATAACAAACAAAAGTCACATTGATTAAAGGAAAACAAACCTGACAATAACCTTATTGAATGAAAGTATAACAAAGAAGATTTTCTGAAGAATGTATTATGTTGATTTGTAAATTTTTATCCAAATTATATTCTTCAACTGACAAGATGATAAAATTAATTTTTGACAAATTAATTAGGCAAGTAGGTGTATGGGTATTTAAGTAGGTAGGTAGATATAGTAATGTCCTAACAGTCAGTCAGCTACAACGTAGGACCAGGCACATATATACATCGGTCCAGGTTGCCATACCGCATCAGCACAAGATGAACACCGGATTCATAGCAGTGGTTATGTCAAAGGTGGTAATATATAAGAGAAAGATTGCATATAGAGATATAATACAAGAAGAAAGAATTAGTTCGTAGAAAGAAAGATATGAAGTGATTTTAATCTCAGAGTTTAAGGGAAGACAGAGAGTGTATACACCGACGCCATTGTGATCGATTCTGAGCCATGTCACCAAGAGTCTCCAACCATTGGTTACGATAGTCACGCGGACACCAACCAATTTTTATTTTATTTTATTTTATTTTATTTGAACACATAAATATTGGTACAAGAGAGCGCCAATATATATGCGCCACACAAAACAATGGGAATTCGAAGAGAAGAAGAAAAAAAAAAACTAAGGAACGCAAAAGAAAAAGAGAGTAATGACGATAAGGTACAATCAGAAGAAATCTTTCAGGTAAAGGAGACACAACCACTTTTTATGAAGAAAGTAAAAGAAGGTTACAGCAGGATCGCCACTGGCTTCTATTCTGAGCCATATCTGATAACGTCTCTAGCCACTGTGTAGCACCATCTCTCGGACCCCAACCAGGGAGTCGTGAAGGACCAACACAAGCCAGTCCTTTGCAGCTTTCTTTCATGCCACGACACCATGTCATGCACTGACCACCTCTCCGCTTCTTCCAACCAGTCCCAGAGTCGGCAAATAATGCACGACGTGGAATTCTCTGGGACGACATTCGGAGAACATGTCCAAGCCACCGAAGTCGGTGTTTCAAGATGGTGACACCAATTGAGTTATCATCTCTGTGCCCGAACACACGATGCCGAACCTCTGCATTACTGACATGGTGTTGCCACTGAATGTCAGCAATCCTTCGGAGACAGCGATGATCGAACACAGAGAGTCGTCTAACGTCCTCAACTCGGAGAGGCCAGGTTTCACAAGCATAGAGCAAAACTGCTCTCACCGACGCGTTGTAGATCCGACCTTTTACAGCCAGACTAACATCACGAAGGCGCCAAAGGTGGCCCAGATTGGCATAAGCCGCTCTGGCTTTCACTATTCGTGCATTGATCTCATCACTCACACCCCCACCAGCACTTATGCAGCTACCCAGATACACGAACTTCTCAACTACGTCTATCTGCTCACCGTCCAGGGTGAGTACAGGATTAGAATCCTGCCAGTCTTGTAGAAGTACTTTGCACTTCGAAGGTGCAAAGCACATACCATACCTACGGACACTGATTGCCAACTGATTAAGTGCGGATTGCATGCCTTGGGCATTATCGCACAGTAAGACAATATCGTCCGCATACTCAAGGTCGAGAAGTCTTTCTCCAGGCAACAGATCCACACCACCATTACTTACATTCATCAGAGCTGTTTCCAGAATGTCATCGATGGCAAAGTTGAAGAGGAATGGTGAGATTGGGCAACCCTGCCTAACCCCACTGCTCGAATGGAACAATGGAGAGAGGTGGTTGTATGCCCTCACTCTGCCTGAGGTGTTTTTATACAGGGCTTTTAGGATGTTAATAAACTTCTCAGGCACACCCTTCTTCAATAGACAATCCCAGAGAACAGTCCTATCCAACGAATCGAAGGCAGCCCTGATGTCAAGAAACACTACGATTGTTGGCCTTTGAAAAGTATGGCGGTGTTCTAACATTTGGCGGAGGGTGAAGATATGATCAATACATCCTCGACCAGAACGAAACCCAGCCTGCTCCTCGCGAGTCAATCTTTCTCGGGTTTTGAACAACCTACGAAGAATGACGGAAGCCAATAGCTTGGACGCAATCGGAAGTAAACTTATCCCCCGATAGTTGTTACAAGAACGACGTGAACCCTTTTTAAAGATAGGGACAACTATCGACTCATTCCATGACGTTGGCACACTCTCTAGTTCCCAAACCTTTGTAAACAACGTCGTCAATTCCTTAGTCAAAAAGTCACCACCATCTTTAAAAAGAGCCGGAGGTAAGTCATCTGGGCCAGGTGATTTGTAACGCTTCAAGAGTTGGAGTTCCTTGCGGACTTCCTCCTCGTTTGGTGGATCAGTCGTCACCGGCCATGGAGGGCAGGACAGTCTGACCGATGTTGCCGGAGCAGCAGGCCAGTTGAACTGCCCTTCGAAAAATTCTGCCCATCGTCCAAGACGTCGATGGATGTTAGTGATTGGCATCCCATCATCCTCGCAGATTGTTTCACTCACACCAGACTTCTTGCTGCCAGTGGCTCGGATGAGTTGGAAGAGCTTCCGGTAGTTACCAGATGCAGCTGCTGCTTCCAGCTCATTAGCACGCATCGACCACCAGGCTTCTCGGTCCTTACGCAAGCTTTGCCCAATTTCCTTACGTAACATCCTTCGTTTATGGTCAAACTCACGGTCACCCGGAGTAGACCGACGGGCTTCAATGAGTTGTAAGGAACCAGAAGAAACCCAGTGCTTAAAAGCGGGACGTTTCGCAAACCCACAACTGACTGTTCCCGCCATTTTCATGGCGTCATGCAATTGCAACCAATGCTCATCTATACTTTTCGGTGGAGTGGTAGCTAGCCTAGAGGCTAGCTCGGTTCGATACTTACTTGCAACAGAAGTTGCAACCAGCTTGCTAACATCAATCCGTTGATGGCGTTCACTTCGTTGTCCACTGAAAAGTAAGGCAAGATTGGCGCAGACCAAGGCATGGTCAGAGTCCAGATAGGTACTCCAAAAGGAGCGGCAGTCTTGTACACAACCACGCCAGCGGTAGCTGATCGCGATGTGATCAATCTGAGTCCAGGCTTGAGATGCAGAGGGAGGACGCCAGGTGGCACATCGGCGATGACTGTGCCGAAAGTTAGTGCTAGCCAGAAACAGGTTGTGGTCTGTGCAAAGTTGCAGTAGACGGTCCCCGTTATCTGACCTGCGACCAACGAGTCCCCATCGGCCACCTAAACGACTCTCTTCTGTGCCTAGACGCCCGACCTGAGCATTCAAGTCTCCGGCTAGTACTACAATATCTGTCGAACGCACTTTCTGGAGAAGAACTGATAACTGGTGGTAAAACTCATCCTTGATTGCATCCGGGCTGCAATCTGTCGGGGCATAGGCGGAGATGACGAAAAGACATCGTTTCTCACGCCGATTTCTTCTCACTTTGATGGAACTTTCTAATCTAACAGCACATAACCGACTGTTAATGGGGATCCAATCGACTAGTGCTGCCTCAGCTCTAGCGCTTAGTGCGACACCAACGCCAGCAAGACCAGACGAAGATGCCACAGGGTCCCCGGATAAGCGCACGTAAAACAAGCTTTTCGAAGCGACAGATGGAGATCGAATTTGTAGTACTTCGCCAGAGTCTTGAATACGGGTCTCGGATAGACAACACACGTCGATATTAAGACTTTCCAAAGACATAGCCAGCCCTATCTGTTGTCCGACCTGCATAAATGTGCGAACGTTGAAGGCAGCCAGTTTGAATGGTGCACGTGGTTTCAGAAAATCTGCTTCAGTCCTCGTATTCGGTGGTAACATACAATTTTCAACCGGACAGTGACTCGAGAACGTTTAGATACAGTCGGAATTCCACCAAAGACGAGCCGCTGTATAAGTATAAAAGAGGGTGAATAATGTGGAAAATAATAATAATAATGATAATAATAACAATAATGACAATAATAGTAGTAATAATAATATTAGTATTAATAATGACAATAATTGTAATGATAATAATTTGAATCAATTGTTTGTTTTTCAAAGCGACAAAAGTAATTTCCATAGACATAAAGAGTTCATCATTTGTGTGTGGGCTGTGATACTGCCCGGGTGCCCAAACCGAAGCAGGTGGTTATCTTAGGGGGCCACTCCCCGAGCCTTTGACCTAAAGGTCTAACCCACAAGGCAGTGGAGCATCGTAAGGAGATGCAGTCCCATGGTAGCCGGTGACCAACGATTGGTTCATACGCCATTCGTTCCCGCAGGATACTGGAGCCCATGTGCACCATTGGTTTGGAATCCGGTTAAAGCGCCGGACATTCGCTTTTCGTCCTCTCATTTTCGTAAACAACACCCCCGCCACGAGAAGGCAATGAGTAGGACTTCCCTGGCAGAGGCTGTATACGCGTGGCCGTGTGAGAGTATTTCGAGAGGGAGAGCGGACTCTCCCCACTCTCGGCCGTACCAGGGCATTCAGGGGGCGGACACCAACCAAGTAGTCTGCATCTACCAACATGGCTCAGACTACAAGTTAGTGACTTCAAACACTGATGCCACGTTTTGGTTTGGCCACCCTTAACTTTCTTACAACCATCTCCAATACCGGATAGCATTGCACGTCGTGGTAATCGGTGTTCAGGCATACGTAATACGTGGCCCAACCATCTCAGTCGATGAAGATCAACAAACTCATCAACTGATTTACCATCATTCCCTAATACCCTGCGTCTAACCTCATTATTACTTATCCGGTGATCCCAGCAGACGCCAGCAATATTTCTAAGACATCTGTGGTCAAATACTAGTAGCTTACGAGTGTTTTCTACTCTTAAAGGCCATGTTTCGCTGCCGTAAAGTAAAACAGAACGGACTGCCGCGCAGTATACTCGTCCTTTTATTGATAGACGGATATCTCGCCTTCGCCAAAGGTGACGTAAGTTGGCAAAAGCCAAGCGAG